GTAGTTTTCTTTCCAGTAAAACGTGTTCTTTGTAGGACTATTCTTTTTTGTTCTTGTTTTGTTGATCTAAGATGATTTGCAGTTTCCGAGTCAGAACGAAAGCGGCCTTGATGCCCCAAAAAGCGTATCAAGATAGATAACAGTAATACTGACGACAAATAGACGGATCCTGCTTTCACGAGAGCAAAAACTAACCGTCCACATAATGTAGAGAGGAAAATGAATTGTCCTCAAAACAAAAGTTTTGTATCATTGTATGTGTTTCACAGAATTTAGACCAGCGTCTTTGGTGAAGCGATTAGGTATTTCGCTGCCGCACGCAGAAGACCCGAGTGAGGAGAAATTGTTAACGAGTAGCTCGGTCTTTCTGATGAGATGTTGTATCTCTCAGCCCAAGTTGTAGTGCTGGGCGGCTAGGTTCTCGATTATTTAAAGCTAAGAATCGTAGGAATCGACTCCGAGCCCAATTACTTTCTAATGATGTGATTTTTTTCCGGAGGTTACCTAATTGGCCTCGAAAATTTTCAGAGTTTAGGATAACCGTGATTTCGGAACACCATAAAGTGTCAAACTTCTTTTTTTTTTAATTCTAAAAAGAAAAAGAAGAATATTATTTTAATGTTTGAATTAAATGGTAACCTTTTTATTACGTACAAAGGAGTTGTCGGAACCTTTCTTCTGTAGCATTAATCGTGGGAATCGGTTCCGGAAGCGATTTTTCGCCCAGCTCTACCAAGTTGGCCTTGACAGGTAGGGTCGGAAGTCTGCCCCTTAATCAAATAGCGTAAATTGTGTCGACGGGGGTGTGAAAAACACCTATTTCTGAAACAAATAACGAAACATCAGACGTTTTGATTCTGTCCTCAGGGTCCTCTGATCGACCTGCACGGGCCAGGCAGTGTCTTCTTCCTCATCCGTTTGAGAGAGAGAACGAAGAGGAGGATGAGGGCAAAACGAGGAGAGAGGACAGACAGATATGTGGCATCAACATCTCAAAGGTGTGGGTCTGTTAGTGTGTGTGTGTGTGTGTGCGTGTGTGTGTGTGTGTGTGTGTGTGTGTGTGTGTGTGTGTGTGTGTGTGTGTGAGAGAGAGAGAGAGAGAGAGAGAGAGAGAGAGAGGAGAGAGAGAGAGAGAGAGAGAGAGAGAGAGAGAGAGAGAGAGAAAGAAAGAGAGAGGATAGATAGGAAGGGAGGAAGGAAAGAGTCTGACAGACTTTGCTTGTTTTTGTTTTTTTCTCAAACCTTGGCAACCAAACACACTAAGAACAGATCGCTTTAAAAAAACAAAGACAATTACGTGAACAATAGACTCAGAAAACAAAGAAAGAGAAGACGAAATCTCGTTATGAATTCGAACACCAAAAACAGCAAAAGTGGCTAAGGTATTATGGTAATATGTGTTTAGGATTTTTTTGTTTGCTAAGGCAGTAACATCTCATGATAAAGCGTCTTTTCAGGTTAACTTCAAAATATTTGAACTGGCTGTAGAGCTTTCATCGTCAGCAACACAAACACATTATTGAGGCATCGTGGTGAAATCAAGCGCTTGTCAAAATTTTAAACAATGAAATCGAAGAAACCGGCATTTTTTCTCCTGGTTTGGCAATTTTTATCGAATTTTTGTTTCTTTGTCTCAACATATTATATGTCCATTTAAAAACACATTACTGTGTGGATTTTACCGAAAAATCTATCCACACCGTGTCTCTATGTCTATACATTTTCAATGTTCAAGAAATCTCAAACTATGGGAGCCATCAAACTTTGGCGGCCATTTCTCGCAAATTTTATTTCTAAAAGCAGGCGGCTCTCAACTCCTTCTGTTGCAAATATCTCGACTTCTGTTCAAGATAGAAGGGTATTGTTTTAAATGCAAAGCAAGGCAAATGAATAGGCTTTAAGCGTATACCAATAACTCAAAATGCCCCAAAATTGACGAGCGCCTCATTCCAAAGAGTCGTGATGCACATAAAAATACTTACACATACATACGCATACATATACATGCGTTTAAGCTATAAGCACACATATACCTATACATACACACTTACGAACATTTACAAAATACATACTACACTATAATACACGTAGACACAGACTGACACAAGCATACACACGTACAAACGCACTCGTGTACACATGCAATGGCATGCAAACGCGCACACACAAACACCCAAACACACACTCAACGCTCGTACATCAATATTGCAAGTACTTAATCTAAAAATGAGTAGGCTACAAACAAGAGACAACTGACAAAATCTGTAGAGTTAGGCTTTAGAATCATGCTACAGTATGATAATATTATATAGTTTTTTCAGTTCAAATATACACCTAACAAATTCAAAGACCGCATAGAAAGACCAAATTACACCTAGCAAATCCAAATATACAAATGACGTCATAAAAATTCC